TTCCCTACGACAAAGATCATCCCACAAGTTAGCACCGAAATTCTTTGGCCCATACACAGTTTCAGAGAAGATAGGCGACGTAGCTTACCGCTTACATCTTCCACCAGAAGCCAAGTTACACCCAGTTTTCCATATCTCCCTGCTACGGCCTTTTCACCATCGTACGGATAAACCAGTCCCCACATTTCCACTCACGGTGGAACAGAATGAGCTCGAACACACACCGAGTGCTATATTGGCCACCAGAACAATATGGCGTCAAGGCAAACCCAGAAAACAACTTCTGGTACAGTGGTCTCATCTACCCCAGGAGACTACCACTTGGGAAGATGAAGAAGGATTAGAAATCTGGAACAGTGCGGACACTCTACGCGATTCAAGAGCAAAGGAAAGGGCTCAAAAAGGGGAGCTCCATGGGGAGAAGACAACAATCAATGACAAAGACGGACGGATTACTGAGGTAGTAAGCAACGATTCTTCCCAAATTCCACAGGGAATTAATGACCCCAACCACTCAGCTGCAAAAAGTCAGTCACGCACACTGCTCAAAGAGTCACATGGGGAAGACGTCCTTAGGGATGAGGCTGATCCTTTGAGCGCCAATCATTTTCCCCTCAAAGGATTTCGGACCAACGCCATAACGCCACCTCAACCTGATCCATTACATACCCAGGCTGCCACGTTTACCATTGATCACGTTGCTGATGGATGGATCTAGACCGTCGGTTCCAAGGCCACTGAGAGGCCCACGACGCATGGCTTTGAGCTTGAGGACAAGCTCTTTTCTGATGGGCAAGAGAGTGTAGCGGACCCAGATAATGGGAGGCCCAAACGAAAGACAAAGCCACCAGCCCATCTCAAAGATTATGTTTAGTGTTTTATTAGCTAAGAGTCTTTTATTTTCTTATTTAATAATTACATGCAATTAGTAGTTTATTAGTTGTCGATAGGATTAATCATCCTTATCTTCAAATTGTTATTTTATCATCATCATTATCTACAATCAGTCATTAGCTGGCAATCCTTAAGCCATTAGGTTGATATTTGTTTTGCTATAAAACCCTGGAAAAGATCAATACAAGGACATGGAATGTTTGATCGCAACTCTTCTCCCTTTAAAATTCTCTCATCTCTCCCACCTCTTATTCTTCTCTCTTTCTTTTAAGTGATACCCCTTCATAGCGATTATTCAGAGTTTTATTTATTGAAATAAAAAAAATGATTTGATTTTTGAATGATAAACTATGATACGACACAATATTCAATTTTGAATTGTACGATATAGCAATTCACGGTCCAATATAAGATCAATTCTAATATAGATAATGTGTATAGCAACTTATAACCAGTGTTTTAAAACTCCACCCTATTTCGGGGTTGACTTCATCTGGTCATTGACCTTCTGGTCATTGACCTTCTTTTTCTTGTCTAGTATTACACCAGTTGACAATCCAAGATTCCAGACTTTTCGTAAATACGAAAGAGATGCACCAGGGCAAAAAGACTATAGATGTAATATATAGAAGGGGAATGAATGCTTGCTTGTTTTTCGAGACCCCGTTATAAGTTCTATCCATATACGTTCTGATCGCCAACTCATACTTGATCCAGTTCTACTTTATTGGAATAGGGGAAATAAAAAACCCAAGCATAATGAATTTTACTTTACTTATCCGATCCGAAGTAACTTTCATCAACTAGCATTATTTTGATGTAAACCTTTAGGAGGAAATCATAGAACTGCTTCCAGATCTAAAAAAAAAAAATACGAGATTTGTCTCCACTATCCGTATCTAAAAAATCTTGTTTTTTTGAACATGAAGAAATAAGGAAGCCATTGCAATTGCCGGAAATACTAGGCCCACTAAAGGCACCAAAATGGAGGGTAGGTTTATCATAGAAAGGGGACCTCAATTTAATATTTGTACCTGTTTTTTTTCTATTAATTTTTGGATTATTCCTGTTTTTTATAAAGATAGTCTATAATCTATAATCAATCGAATTCATATATACTTATACTTAGTAAAATTGAATAATTATACTAAGTATAATAAAAAAAAAGATTAAGAAAAGAATCAAGAGTATAAATAGAATCAAATAATCAATAATATAAGGAATGTAGAATGAAATAAATGGATGGATTTCGCTTTCTATTTCTGCAAGAAGCATATGTATGATAATACACCCTTTTTTTTATTCTTAGTACTCTTCGAGTATTATCGTCTTACTATTCTCCTGTGTGTTCTAATTTGCTTTTTGTCTCATAATTTATTTTTGAAAAAAAAAATAATTTTAGTCTATGCTTGATTTTTCATTTTGAATCGAAGGAAAGAAAGCGTGGAGCTGAAATAACTCACTCAGAACCCACTTTAAAGTATTACGCGGTACGATTGAATCAAATAAGCCTTTTTGGAATAAAAATTCTGCTGCTTGTGAACCTTCGGGTACTGCCTTATTTAACGTTTGTTCAATTACTCTTTTACCCGCAAATGCAATGTAAGCGTTTGGTTCGGCAATAATGATATCCCCCAACATGCCAAAACTAGCTGTCACCCCTCCTGTAGTAGGAGATGTCAGGATCGATACATAGAATAAGTTTTTATTTGTTTGATAATCATATAAAGCCGAAGATATTTTAGCCATTTGCATCAAGCTCAAACTTCCTTCTTGCATACGTGCTCCTCCGGACGCACATACTAGAATAAGAGGTAAAAGCTCATTGGTAGCATATTCGATTTATTTTCATCGGATCATTAATCAACAGTCACTAGGATTTGGTGTCAAATTATACTAGAACTATCGCTTTCACTACCATTGTCAAAACAAATGTTTCTATAAAAGTAACTTGCCCCTATATATATATAACTATCAATGCAACTATTAATGTTATTATTCAACTAGATTGAATCAATGATTTTACACCGATATAAGACTAATAAGTCTTACACCACATCTCAACCGTTGATTTTCGTGCATCCAACGGTTATAATTTAGGAAGTATATATATGTGTGTGTGTGAGAAAAATATTTCTCAAACAGCTTGAGATATATTTATCTCTGGTCAGCCCATAACTACGTCGTTTTGTTTATTTATTTCCTTATATTAATTGATTCACCTTTGAATAGTTATGATTCTCATTTTATCTCTCTTCCTTTATTACCATTGACTCATATTTGTAAGGTTATGATTTAGTGGCTGGAGATAAAGTTATCTCAAACAACTTGAGAAATGATAAGCTATATATATATATATATATATATATATATATATATTAATTTATCGATTACTCGACTAGTTCGACACGAGTTTAGTAGAATTATATAGGCTACAAAGCTCTCCTATCACGTTTTAATATAATTGCGTTCCTAGGGACTTAGACTCGGACCATTAGTTAAGCTAAAACAACCCCTATAACTACCCTATCATCATATAATTGTCCACTAAGTGCATGTTTGGATCCTCTCTTTTTTAAGCTAGAAGCTACTTATAAGCATAAGCTAGGCCAAACAGGTTTTGAGAAAAACTTTTATAATGAAAAACTCTCTTTTTTATAATGAAGAAAAAAGCTAAAAGCTCCTAGGAGGAGTTTTTTTATAAGCTCTTATGCTTTTCTTGAATTGTATACTTTTTTTTCTAAAATGAAGAGCTATAAAGATAGAGAAAAAATAATTTTCTTGAAATATGAGCTTTTAAGCTAAAATTTTTATATAAATATCAAACAACTTTTAGCTTCTTCTTTTTTAAGTTCTTTTTTTAGCTTCAACTTATAAATAGCTTTTAACTTAAAAAAGAGATGATCCAAAGACACTCTAATTTGAGATGCACACAACTACCTCTAGGGATGTAAATGGGTTGGGCTGGGCTAGACTTTGGCTTAAATAGGCCAGGTCTGTGTAAAAAACATTGGGTATGGCCTAGCCTATTAGCCTGTGTAGGTCCCAAATTACAAGTCTAGCCTGACCTATATTTAAAAAAAAAGCCTTAGCATAGGCCTGTTAACCTGTTTAAGCCTATTAAACATTCAACAATTAAAAGAATAACTAAAATAATATTATTTTATTATTCAAAATTATTATTTTAATAATTTTATTTATTATATTTTAAATAAATAATATGATATAGGCCGACCTGTAGGCTTATAGGCCAGACATGTACTAAAAAAATCTATGGCCTATTTTCTGAATAGATATTTTTAAAAGCTTAGGCCTGTTCTATTTTACTATTCATAATAGATCAAGTTTGACCTAATATAAGCTAGACCGTAGGTCCCTGTAAGCCGGCCTAACCCATTTACACCCCTAACTACCTCGTGATATATAGATAGAGGTTAAATAAGGATGTATACTATGCTTTATGGTCCCTAAACTCCCTCTTTCACAAAAAGTTGTCGTACACGGTCTAAGCACCGGAGGAAGAGTTTACAAAAACCCAATTTCGGAGCAACCTAAGGAATAATCAAAGACATAATAATGGCTGGAGGTATATTCATAATCCCCTTTATTTTTTTACATTGATCTAATTGTTTTTTAAGTTAATAGGCATGATTAGATTTTCATGAATATCTCTTAAGCAACATAGAATTATGCCTACAAATATATGTATTTTTAGATGTCATACATAGTAATAATAATGCAGCATTGTTGATTACCAAAAAAAATAATAATGCACCGTTGACAATAATTCATCACCATAGTTAGCAAAAAAAGTGCACCACTAGCAATAATTCATCCGCACAAAATAAAATACTGGAAGAAATAATTACTGTACAAAGTTTTAGAAACCATCCTAAAAACTTTTCGTCCAATTTTTTTTATATAAAAATGGTGATTGTACCGACAACCTTGTACAAATCTCAAACCGACAACTCTTGAACAAATCTTAATAGTTCTATTTACGTATAAAAATGGTCATTGTACCAGCAACGTTTGTATAAATCTCAATATATAGTTTCATTTCTATCTTATATATGCAGCCTTGTCTTGCGAAGGGTGAACCAAATATGGAGTCTCAAGTTGAAAAGCTGGAAACTAGTGTTCACATTAAGGCCTCTGCTGTGCAGTTCCATGATGTTGTCTGCAACAGGACACACCATCTTAGAAATATTTGCCCTGAAAAAGTACAGGGTGTTGAAATTCTTGAAGGTGAATGGGGCACTGAGGGATCCATCATATTCTGGAATTATGTTATTGGTATGTGAACTTCAAACTCAAAATTTTATAATGTGTTCAAAAGAACCATACTTTCATAGCCAAGATTTTTGAGATACAACATGTTACATGTGCTTACTTTAACTTAGCATCAGGCGAATTTTTTATTTGTTTTCCTGAAAATGAATAACATGACTTGATTTGAAGTAAATTAAGTTGGGAATTTAATATAGAACAATTTAAATTTATAATACTATATACCATTAAGGATATGTTGATATGATGATTTACTTAGTTTGCAATACTTATAATAGATGAACATATATGGTTAATGGCAACATTATGATCTAAAAATTTGTTTGCTTTTTTTTGTTTTGGAAAACAAATTAGATGGAAAAGCTTGTGTGGCTAAGGAGGCGGTTGAAGCCATAGACAAAGGAAACAATAAAACCACATTCAAAGTGTTGGAAGGAGATCTGCTGCAGCATTACAAGAGCTTCAATTTCATAATTCAAGTTATTCCACAGAAAGAGGGTAGCATGGTGCACTGGACCATGGAATATGAGAAGCTAAAAGACCACTTCCCTGACCCTCACTCCTTATTGCAGTGGGCAATTGAGCTCATCAGAGACATTGATGCTCATCTTATTACCCAGGACCAGAAATAGAATATTAATATGAATAAAAAGTTCATGTCCTATGTTATTTCTATGTATGTGAAAAATAAAAAATTGTAGATAGAGCCAGCTGGTACCATGTGTGAGCTAGGATGTTTCTGCTCCACCTTCATTGTGTTAAGCATAAAAGGTCTTGTGTAAGTTACTATTTTTACATAAAAAAAAAAAAAAAAGTTACTATAGTTATTGCACCTAGAGGATGGACAGTCATGTATGGTTTTGCCCTTATGTATTATGAAATCTCCTCAACCTTTATGTGCAATTTCAAGCAGAGCAATACTATTATTCTTAAGAAAATGGCCAGCACCTACAACAAAAAAAACATTATTCTGAGGGCTACTTCCAACAAATTTAAAGTTAGAAACTATTTTTTTCATTTTTTGAGCAATGGAACATTATAAAAAAAAATTAAAAAAGGAATAATTTTATTTCAAGCGCTTAATGAAAAAAAAGATTTTAAATTCAACTTTGAAAAAAATTCAGCGATAAAAGTGTTGGAATATGATCTAGTGAAGACTGGAACGTCTATAATCTATAATTCTATTATAGTGTTAGGCTACTTCTCATGAATAATAAAATAATAATTTATACCTTTAATGTTAGGCAACTTCTAATAAGCACTGCTGACGAACATTATTTAAAATAAAGGAGAAAACATATTCCATATATAATATAATTACTTAAATCATGATTCAAATTTATTGCCAAAGATACAAAATACACAACAAAAACAAAATGAAAATTGCAATAATGAAAACGGGGTAGTTAGGATGAATTTTCTATAAACTAACATATTTATTTAAGAGTAAATATCCATTTTGGTCCCTGACAAAAAACTCGATACCCGTTCTAGTCTCTAGCAAAAATAAATTGGCTTGGAAGTCCCCAACAAAGACAAATAGGTCTCACGTTAGTCCTTTTGCTAGTCCCAAACAGACGGCGTGACGGAGCTGATGTGTAACATTAATGACCATGCTCAACGGCCACGTTGGAGTGGAAACGACGTCGTCACCTAACCTGCGTCTATGTTGCTCAGAATCATTTGGAGAAACCCCAAAGTGCCCCTCACCTAACCGTTGTTAACTTTACCATTTTCCACTCTTGGAAGTTCAACATCCATTGTTGAGAAGGAAGACCATCGTTCTGTTAACATATCCCTGCGTTTTGATTCTATAGCGGTTTAACAATTGGAGGGAAATGGAGCAAGAAATAGCTTTGGTTTGGTACGAGGCTCATCTTTGTGTACTAAAAGGTAAGACAATAATCTATTTTTGGAACACTTGTTTATTGTAGTTGCTATTTGTTGTCTGTGGTTCACATGAAGTTTTTGTTGTTTAATGCGTGTTTCATTCGTGCATGCTCTATGGACAATGTGGTCCATGTTTTACTTTAAGCTTTAAAGTAAACAAATGGCTACCGGGTGTGGTGTGGTCTCTGTGTGAGTAAAGTTGTCCAAGGTTGACCCAAAAACAATTAAAAATCACATGTAAAGTGCAAGAAAAAACACATGTTCCATTTGTCTGTTTGTTTATGGTTTTTTTTATTGTTGCTAAGGTTGCTAAGGTATTATTAAAGAATTAAATAGGACCAGTGTTGGGAGTTTTTTCACTTAGTCATTGGATTAAAGAAAGCTAACTTATTTTTTGGTGTGTACGAATGTCTGAATATATAGTCATTGTTTATCATCTCGGTGGTGTTTTAATAAGAGATGAAGATGGAGTGCTTACCTATGTAAATGGTAGAGTGGACTCACTACCTAATATGGATATTGACTACTGCAATTTGCATGACCTTGACACTCTGTTTAAGGAATTTGGGTATGAAAAATGCAAAAAGATGATGTGGCTAAAGCCTGGTGAACCTGATTTAGAACAAGGCCTCAGACCACTTAGTACCGATTCTGATGTATGTGCCATGTGTGAGGCTGCCTTAGGTAATGGCAATGAGATACATGTGTATGTTGAAGACTGCATATCAATTCCTCAGTTTGGTTCACCTGAACATGACAGTGCATGGGATAATATGGTTAATACCACATATAATGAGGATCATGCACAGGATGATGTTGGGATGAATTTGGATGATGAGATTTCACATGATGTTGGGGTGAATTCGGATCATGAGCATGAGAGTGCAGAGGATGGTGGTATTTCATCGGAACATGACACTGCAGATGATGAGATTGCTTCTTCGGATTCATATGAGAGTGCAGAGGATGAGGCATATAAGCTTCCCCCAGCTGTTGAAGACTATTCAGATGATGAAACAGAACAGACTGCACCATGTGGGAAAAAAAACAAGGCCTGCAAAACAGACCCCACGGAAGAAGGCATACAAGAAGGATGGCAACAATGAAGACTCTGATTATGTAGTTGATAAAGAGGAAGACCAAATGTCATTTGAAGAAGATGGATATACTTATCTTTTTGAGGAATTAAGGACTCCTCCTTCAAGTGATGATGATGATGATGAAAATGTTAGACCTGTATTGCCAAAGTTTAATGAACATGCTGCCTTTGGGCATGTTTATTTAGAACTAGGCATAGAGTTTCTGAATTTGGAGCAATTTAAATGTGCTGTGAAAGACTATAATATTAGTCTTGGGAGGCAGTTTATCTGGGTTAAGAATGACAAGGTTAGTAAGGGCCAAATGTAGTATTGAAGACTGTGAATGGATGGTGTATTGTGCTTGGAACACCAAGCTAAGCACATTCCAAATAAAAACATTTAACGAGATTCACACATGCTATAGAGTATTCCAGAATAAAAGGGCTACTCAAGATTGGGTGGCCAAGAAATTAGAGAAAAGGATATTGACACAGCCCAAGATGTCAAGGTCAGAGCCATTTGAACACATGAAGGAGGAATACAATGTTCACTTAAATCTGAATAAAGTAAGCAAGGCTCCTAAAAAAGCCAAAGGCAAGATTGAAGATTGTGAGAAGGAACAATATGGCAAATTAAAGGAATATCTTGCAAAGCTATTGAGAAGCAACCCTGGATCCACTTGCCAAATGCAAATGACACCCTAACCTATTCCACAAGCACTGCCAATATTTGACAGAATGTACATTTGCCTTGATGCTTGTAAGAGGGGGTTCAAAGCTGGTTGTAGGCCTTAAATTGGATTGGACGGTTGTTTTTTGAAGGGATACTATGGGGGTCAATTATTGAATGTTGTGGGTGAGGATGCAAACAAGCAATTTTATGTAATTGCCTTTGCCATGGTTGATAGTGAGACAAAGGATAACTAGAAGTGGTCAGACTGGTCATTACCCAAAGACATGTAAGGGACCTGCAACTCCTTCAAGGTCAAAGCAAAAACCAGTTAATGTTGACATTCAATCAAGAACAATTGAAGAAACAGTCATGAATCAAGGATGCCCTGTACCAGAGACAAGCAGGCAACATGCAACAACTGAGGCTCAACTAGGCTCAAGAGCATCAAGAGGCAGCAGTCCACCTCCATGCAATCTTACTGAGGTTGTATCCAATGAGACACTAACTGCAGCAAGTAGTGGCACTAGGGCCAGATTCATGAGCTTCATGTCTACACCAGGGTTCAAGCCACCAAGATAAGCCCCAAAAAATTGATTGGAATATTGTGTAATCAATGTCATTAGGCCATTTTTTGGATGCCTCTGATATAGGGATTGATTGGAATGGTAATTAGGCCATTTTTTTGGAAATACTTTGGTTTTGGCCCTGTTGAAATATGTCAGTAGGCTTTTTTTGTATGCCTCTGGTTATGGCCATAGTTAGTAGGAACATTATGCTTTTTTTGGAACACTATTGTATTGGCCTTAATGGAAATATGTCAGTAGGATTTTTTGGTATGACTGTGGCATGGTTAGTACTTGTAACTAGGATCTGATGAAATGAATGCAAAATGTCTGGTTACTATCTGTCTTTGCTGTCATTACTGTCTATAATGTGCAATTTTTAAATTTTGGTCTGCACCATCTGTCATTACTACTTCTACTGATACATTTTCTTGTTTCTGTCAACACTGGTATTTATCTTGTGTTTGCTGTGTCCTTTTAGGGTCATGTGTAGCATCACTGTACTTATCATCCATCAGCAATTCATTTCCCTTATAGGTCCTTAACATTTTTTTATCAATGACCTTTTTAGTCTTTGGTTACTAACACATAGATCCATATTGGTCGTTAACAATTTTATCGAGGTCTTTTTTAGTCCCTGTTAAACTTGGAGTTACACCAGTGCCACCATAAGCTGTTAACAGACCAGCAATGTCATTTCCCCTTGTACATGCTTATTTCACTTATGACTTACACAATTAACTTCTGCATAATTCACACCATCACAGTCTCAATTTAGTGTTCATACAGTATTCCCATTTTTTTATCTCCTTCAAGTTTATACTACACTTTGTGCCAATAAACATAAGTTCAAGTACATAATCCATATTATATACATTGCATGAACAACATTTCATTATATTTCAACACTGGTCCTTCCATTACAAATCTTTACATTCTAAAATTCTTACAATATGTAATGGTACATACACCAGCAAATCTCAACAGAACCACACTTTTTATTTCATTCCAGCCTACTTGCAAGATATATACATATTACAAACACAACAATAATGGATCTAGCAAACACCCTAGCACACCTACACACATGCTTAATTTCCTTCTCCACCTTTTCAAACTCTGCATACATCTTCATTGATAGTTCACTAATCTTTATATGGTGCTCATTAATCTTCTTTTTGTGGTCATTCACCTCCAGTTGTAGTTCATCATTGAGCTTCATGTCCACATAGTTCAACTTGAATTCCATTTCAGCTACATTCAACTCCGGCTTATTAATTCTCTAATCTTCCAACTCCTTGGTATCAGATGTAGCATCATCCACCCATGTAAAAAAGTTGCAGTGTGGCTTCTTTTCCTAACACCAAATGAAACCAAACTCTTAATAACATTCAACTTAGACAAAGAACGCATGCAAAAAAAACTTCACCTTGAAATTGGGACACCCAAAAAATGCTCTATTTGGGTTTCTATTTATTTTGGAGGTGTAAACAACATTGTGCCTCCCACATTTACACATTGGAGCAGCTCTCCTTCTTTGACTTATGGATCCAAATGAACTACAAGGGCTTGAGCTCCCCCTCTCAGAAGAAATATTCATCTCCTAAACACTAAGTTTCAAAGAATGCAAAAAATCGAAGATAATCCCTAAATCAGTAAACCCTAAATCAGTAATCCCAAATTGAAACATTCAATCTTCGATTCAATCCCCACCTAATGTGTTTCTGTAAACCCTACACTATACGACGATGTTCGTGTGAAGAAATTGAGGGGGAGGGACAACTTCACGTTTAATTGATTTTCTCCAAATGATTCTGAGCAACGTGGACTCAGGTCTCCAAACTACGTCATTTCCACTCCAACATGACAGTTGAGTATGACCATTAACGTTACACATCAGCTCCATCAGTGACGCCGTCTGTTTGGGGCTAATAGAAGGACTAACGTGGGACCTATTTGTCTTTGTTGGGGACTTTCAAGCCAATTTATTTTTGCTAGGGACTAGAACGAGTATCGAGTTTTTTGTCAGGGACCAAAATGAATATTTACTGTTAGCACACAGACCAATTTTAAAAAGTTTGGCCAAAGAGCCTAACCGATCGGCCCGTATCACTTTTTAATAACTAACCTTTCTAAGAAATTTTATTTTGTCATCTACTTCAAATCCTTTGAATTAGGAAAATGCTTGAAAGGCTCGTAAGGCTGGGTCATCTAATATTAAATTGGGCCCATAATATTTATCGAGGAATCAAAAAGATACTTCACTTTATATTATGCTCTTTCTGCTCTAAAATCTGAATTTGACACCATTTGGGAAGTTACATAATTATTGTAATGACTCCTAAACATAAAAGCTTAACTTTAGTGATATATTAATGGCAGTATCTTGTAGTTCACCACTCCATATGACGAATTGACGACTCACAAATTATGAAAACTTAAATTTTTCTATCGATGGACCCAGGCCAATTAGCCGAAGAATTGAAGAAGAAACCTTCGATAGATTATCAACATGTTTTTTTCACATATTTGGTGAAATTTTATGTTGGTCCTATAAAAAAAGTAAACTTAAATTATTTTGTAAATTCGGTATGAGATTTCACTTAATAACAAATAAAATATTAAAAAATAAGGTCCCAAAAATAAATTACACTACAATATTCATTAAATCATACTTAGTTATTATGTTTTTGAAAGGGATCGAGTTTCTCTCCTTAACAAATGTTGGATTTGGTTATGATTCTCTTTGATTATGATGATAATGAATCCTGTCATATGAAATGAGGTCACGTGAAAGATCATAATTATACATATATAAAGGAACAAATATATTTCTTCACCCTTTATTTTAAAATATCCTCTAATTTCCATTAATTTGTATGTGAATGTTGAAATTCTCTCTTTAAAATATTATGTTTAGAGGATCTCTTTTCGATTATCATAACATAAATTTTATTTTTACATATATAAAAATGTATTAGACACATTTTTCTTCTTCTCTTCTTTTCAATAATTCTGTATGAATCTCATATACTTTTATTTGTATGTAGAATATAAAACTATATCCTATAACAAGAGAAACATTAATCCAATATTTAAACATGCAAATAATTTATCCACAAATTCATCAATTATCTCATTATTCTATCGAGTCGGATAAGATAAGAGAGATAATAATTTTTGAGGAGGAATATTCTTACTATCAAAATCTTCTACTACCAACTCACTACCTATCTAATAACCATTGGATCAACATTTTCTCTTTTTTAAAAAATTTTGTAGCATTCTCTCTCTTTGATTCAATGGTGATTAGATATGTAGTAAGTTAGTAGTATAAGATTTTGGTAGTAAGAATATCCTTCCTCATAATTCTTTTCTAATAAATTTAATATCTGAATTATTTGATAAACCAATGAAGCGTTCAAAAAAATCTAAGAAAAAAATATTTATTAGTGATTACCAAAAAATAAAAAAAATCATTGTAATTGGATCCTAGAGGCTAGAACGTGGTCTTAGGGAAAGTTCAAAATTGGATAATCGAAATTGATAAAACGTTGTACGTTGCTTTGGTTCCCATTTTGATTGTTGCACTCTGTTCTCCTTTTTGTACAGTGGAGCAGAGTGCAAGTTCAGTGAGAACAATGAAAGCTTCAATTAGATGGTTTTGACTTTGATCCATAATCTCACATACTATTTTGGATTTCAAAGAGAAAAAAGAGGTAATAGTTATTATTATTGTATTGTAAAATGGAACCCAACATGAACCGCATCGTGATTGAGCCACTCTCACAGTTCGACCTCTCCACACACTCTCGCACTAGTTCCGTTCGATCCCTCGCCGTTTCCACACTCTCCCGTCGTTCACAACAGCAACAACAAGAAGCTGTCGTTTTTGTTGGCACTCACTCAGGAACCCTATTTTCCCTCTCCACCGATGTGAACGACAACACCAACGCCCAAAACGGTGGTGCCTCTTCGCCTTCCTTCCTGCGGAAGCTGTCGTTTAGGAGAAGCGTTTCGGTGAGCGATTCACCTGTGGAGTCCATCTTAGTTCTCGGGGAATTGGGGAAGATCTTGTTGCTCTCCGATGGTTCTTTGTTCTTGGTGGATTCCGAGCTCGAAAATCGCGCTACGAGGTTGGGTTTTTCCCCAAAGGGTGTTTCTTTGGTAACGAGGAGGAGGTTGAGGGATGGTGAGTGTGAGGGTTCGGTTTTGAGTGAGCAGCAGTCGTTTTTGCAGAAATTGGGAGGTGGGGTTATAGCAAATGGGTTGAAAATCAAGGAGACTGAATTGCAGGGTGAGTGTGGTTGTGTTTTTGCTCTTGTTGTTGGGAAAAAATTGATGCTTGTGGAGCTTGTTTTGGGGAATAGAGGTGGTAAAAGTGATAAAGATGTTAATGGGTCTCTTGTGGTTTTGAAAGAGATTCAGTGTGTTGATGGGGTTGTTAGTGCCATGGTGTGGCTCAATGATTCCATTATTGTTGGCACGGTGAAAGGGTATAGCTTGATTTCCTGTGTTACTGGACAGAGTAGTGTTATATTCTCGCTGCCAGATGTGTCCCGGCCGCCACGGTTGAAGTTGTTGGAGAAGGAGTGGAGGGTGCTGTTGTTGGTGGACAATGTGGGGATCATTGTTGATGCAAATGGGCAGCCGGTGGGCGGCAGTCTGGTGTTCCGACATGGCTTGGATTCTGTTGGAGAGATATCTTCCTATGTGGTTGTTGTGAGTGATGGGAAGATTGAATTGTATCATAAGAAATATGGTAGTTGTGTTCAGGTGTTGCCGTTTGGAGGGGAAGGAATTGGGCCTTGTATAGTTGCCAGTGAGGAAGATAGAGGTGGGAAGCTGGTTGCTGTTGCAACTGCTACCAAGGTATGTTCTAGGGTGAACTCCATCATTCAGAATATACCGTTTGACTTTGACATACTTTTGTTTTTGTTATTGAATGTGTGTCTTTGATCTATTGTGTAAGCTTGGATTGTTGGCTTGGCTAGTTTGATTTCTTGGTAAATATTTTATTAGGGCCTAGGATTAATGGATTGTTGAGATAAATTGAATGGAGGCCAGTTCAGGATAATGATGGATTTCTATTAGGGGCGACAATTTACAATGTGACCTGTTCATACGATACGAGCACGACATGAGAAATTCGTGTTTGGGTCGACTTGTTTTCTAATTTGTGTCGTGTTTGTGTTGACAAAAACTAACATAAAAAAATGTGTCGTATTGTGTGTCAACCTGCAAATACAACACTTATCCGCATTAATCTTCTTTCAAGTATTTTGTGTCATGTTATGCCGTGTCGTGTTATCCAGCATAATAAGCGTATATTTTGAGATCGATAGGTTATTCGTGTTGTGTCGTATCAATCTGCAAAATGAGTGAGTTGTGTTTGTGTCGAAGGTTTTAACACGAATCTTTGTTCGTATCGTGTTCGTGTCGGGTTTATTCATGTTCGTGTCAGACCTTAACCCAACACAAATTGCCTCCTGTCCTTATTTTACACACAAACTTACCCAAAGAAAAAAGGAATGTTAAAGAAAAAAAAGAAACTTTAATGTTCCATCTGCAACTGTAGAGAATTAAATTATTTGTAGATAGGTCAGTGAAAGTTTGACTGTTATAGTGATTTGCTGGTAATCTTCTGATAATATCACTCGTTAAGTTCATTTTATGAAAGAGTAACAAATAGCATTTCTGAGATTGGGAAATTTATTCTGAACCATAGCATGCTTAAAATGGTAAAGAACTTGGGGAACTTACTTGAAGTTGTAGGAAAGTCGAGCACTGAAGATATTCTTTCATTTTGGGTACCTTTAATTTGAAAATGATATTGATGGAATGCTTCATTTTAAAACTGCTGAAATTTCAGAGGTAGGATGTACAATAGTCACAATATCAATTCAGAGGTGGACAAAAAACTACTGGTGGTGATCAATTCCTGATTTTTAGCTTGACTTATTGTAACTGAAAGTTCTTGATTTTTAGCCTGAATTTTAGTTACACGGAATGGGACAGGATTCTGTTCTATTGACAGTAGGGGTGGCAAAAACGAGCCAACCCGTCGAGTTGGCTCGTAACCTGCAAAAAACGAGCCGGGTTGGGTTGGCACAGATGAGCTGTCAACCCGACCCGATTCAACCCGTGAAAAAATGAGCCAACCCGCGGGTCAAACGGGTTGGCTCGCGGGTTACTTTTTTTTTAATAAAAAAAATAAAATATAACAAATTGAGTCACATGCGGACAGATTGCACGACGCACATCACAGAGACACAGACTCACCCCAGCCCTAGGTCCCCCACCTACACCGACGGTGTCGACACCATTTCCCCCAGTTCTCTCTTCCACCAGGCGTTCTCTACTTCTCTCTTCCACCGATTCCTTTCTCTTCCAGTCTTCCGCAACACACATCGTCAGTTCTTTCTTCCACCCGGCGACGACTTTGATGGGCCCCTAATGCCTTTTAATAAACATTATAAATGCAGGAGAGCTAAGATTCAAATGGAAAGAGATATGAAAGCAGTCCAATCTGATGACAAAAGCCCAAATGAAGGAAAAAGCAATGAGACTGATGACAAGAGCCCAAATGATGAGAAAAGCAATGAGGCAGTGCATAGCCCAAGTGAGAAGAGAAGCCATGAGGCAGAGGACGCATGTCACAAGCAACAACAATCGGTTATTAAAAAAGACACGTGGCAAGCAGTGAATGGAGAGGGTCATGTGGGAGAGGGGGCAGTGGTGAGAGGAATAAGAGAGACGGTTAGAGGGGAATGAGGTATTGGAGAAGTTGTGAGTGGTTGTAGCACCTGAGCTCGGTGGTTCAGTGTGGGTAGGAAGGTATGAGTAGATGTGTAAACGGATGGACATGAGTGCTATATTCATGGAGTCTGTAATGGTTATTTGTTAATTGTAATTCTGAGTATTGGTTAGAGAGAGTCTCCTTTAACAGTATCTGGTTATTATTTCCTTGTTCGTATGGTAAGGGAGTGTTCCCCGAATCTTTAATATTGAATAAAGGTTATAATCGTTGATCTTTAAATACTTAAACACACTGAATTTCTGATTACTATTATTTTAACCCAATTGGTGCCATTAATTTGGTATCAAAGCACTTTACCTGGGAAATTTGTGGATGGTGTTGACAAGAAACATGGATCATCGTATGGAGGCGTTAGAAGCAAGAGTTGCGGGAACGGAAGAGGGAATACACCGAATAGAAGCTAATTTGACGGTGATGATGCGTACCCTTCAAGAGCTCGCAGCTGCTGGAAATCAAGAACGAAACAATGAAGGAGGAAACGACAATCCTGAAGGAACGAATGGAGATCTTCATCGCTTGCTGAGAGATGAAGAAAGAATGAAGAGAGTAGAAGTGCCATATTTCAATGGAGATGATCTGTATGGGTGGATTTTTCGAGCGGAAAGGTACTTCCGTATAAACCATATTCCAGCTGAGGAGCAAGTGGAGACGGGGTCCATATGTTTGGAAGGTCGTGCGTTAAGTTGGTTCCAATGGTGGGAACCAAGAAATCCCACGATGAATTGGGAGGGCCTCAGGAACGCCATTTTGCAGATATTTCATGTGTCTTGAACAGGGAATCCCTACGAAGCGTTGATGGGGTTGAGACAGGAAGGGACGGTGGCGGAGTATAGGGAGAAGTTTGAGATACTATCTGCACCGTTGAGGAATGCCCGTGATGACATGATGCAAGCCGCGTTTCTAACCGGCTTGAGGAAGGAGATTAGAGCTGAGGTGAGTCTCCACTCACCCGTGGATTTAAATCAGACGATGGTGCTAGCTCAGAAGGTGGAAGAAAGGGAGAAGGAATTGGGCAGGGGGACGATGGACTGGAAAGGGGGAAATGGATTTGGGGGTAGCTATGTGGGCCGGACAGCCCTACCAGGAAAAAATGGGCCCAATCGAAAGGGGCCGTTTACCACTAACTCTACAACCCAATTCAATAACACTACGCACGGGGGCCAAACATCTATCACTAGTGTGAACCCTAATCACCAAAACGCAAATGCAACGACACCAGGAGGGGGCAGTTCGTCAGTCGGCAGCGGCGTTGGGTCGCAACGTACGAACTATCGGAGGCTGAGTCAGGAGGAGATAGACGATCGCCGAAGGCGAAACACATGTTTCAAGTGTGATGCTCCATTTGGGCCGGGACACGTTTGTCAGTACACTCAGTGAAGGCTATTGATCTTGGGGGAAGGAGAAAGCGAAATCGTTGAGGACGAAATACCTGAGATGGGAGACGATAGGCACGAGGAAACGATCCAGTTGAGTATGCAAAGTGTGGTGGGATGGACGTTGAACCGGTCTCTGAAGTTGTGGGGACAGCTAGGAGGCCAACGAGTGGTGGTTCTGATTGACACCGGGGCTACTCACAACTTCATAGCAGAGAAGTTGGCGGATGCTCTGGAGTTGCCAATCGATGGGACTCGAGGCTCCAAGGTGGAAGTGGGTGATGGTCACCAAGTCAGAAGTAAAGGAGTATGCAAGGGGCTATGCTTGGAGTTACCAGGTTTGTCTGTAACTCAAGATTTCTTTGTTTTCAATTTAAGCGGCGTGGATTTGGTTTTGAGTTTTACTTGGTTGGAGGAACTAGGAGATATTCGGGCAAATTTCAAAGAGTTGTTGTTGGAAATTCCTTGGAAGGGAAATAAGGTCAGATTACATGGAGATCCAGCCTTGTCATGCAAACAGGTTTCGAGTAAAGGGGTGAGTCGTTCTTGGAAGAAAAATGAAGAGAAGTTCTATGTGCAGCTGGGTTTGATTTCGTTGAACACAAACTCCCTGGAAGGGGTATCGTCCCAGATTGCAGGGTTGCTTTAATAGTACCAAGCTGTGTTTCAGTTGCCTTCAGAACTACCCCCTAGCAGGGGCTGTGATCATCAAATCATATTGACTGAGGGAGCAGAAATGCCCAATGTGAGACCTTACCGTTATCCTCACTATCAAAAAGAGGAAATTGAGAAGTTCATTAAGGAGATGTTAACAACTGGAATGATACGGCCTAGTAGCAGTCCCTATTCTTGTCCCCTGATCATGGTCAAAAAGAAGGATGGAAGTTAGCGGTTTTGCGTGGACTACCGTGCTTTGAATAAGGTTATTGTTACTGACAGGTTCCCAATTCTGGTCATTGACGAGCTCTTGGATGAGTTGAATGGTGCTGGCATTTTTTCCAAATTGGATTTGAAATCGGGGTATAATCAAATATTGATGAGGGTGGAAGACATAGACAAGACAACTTTTCGTACGCATGAGGGGCACTACAAGTATCTCGTAATGCCATTTGGGCTAAAGAATGCTCCGTTAACCTTCCAATCGTTGATGAATGCCATTTTTAAACCTCATTTGCGTAAGTTCATCTTGGTATTTTTCGATGATATCTTGGTTTACAGCCAAGATGAGCAGCAGCATGCTTGTCACCTTCGGGTAGTGCTGGAAATCTTGAAGCAGCAGAAGCTATTCGCTAACTATAAAAAGTGTAGCTTCGCTCAGGAGGAACTGGAGTATTTGGGTCATGTGGTATCCAAGGAGGGTGTCAAAACAGATCCGCGGAAATTACAAGCTGTCCAATTGTGGCCTGTGCCTCGGAATTTAAAGGAACTACGAGGTTTTTTTGGGACTTACAGGGTATTACCGGAGGTTTGTGAAGAGGTACAGTCATAGCTAAACCCCTGAGGAAGGATTGTTTTTTATGGGGTGAAGAGGCACAAAAGGCTTTCGAAATGTTGAAGGCTGAAATGGTGAAGTTACCTACGTTGGCTTTCCCCAACTTTGAGGAAACATTTGTGGTCGAAACTGATGCATCGGGTATTGGTACGGGGGTTGTCCTTATGCAAAAAGGGCGTCCTATCTCATTTTTGAGTCGGGCATTCTCGGATCAAGCAAAGAAGCTGTCTGTATATGGGAGGGAGTTGAAGGCTATAGTGTTTGCCGTCCACAAATGGCGTCATTATTTGTTGGGCAGTCATTTCATCATTAGGACCGATCAACGCAGTCTCAAGTACTTGACAGAGCAAAGGTTGATAGCAGAGGGCCAACAGAAATGGATAGCCAAATTGATGGGGTTTGACTTTGAAATACAGTTTAAGCCAGGAGTGGAAAATAAGGCTGCTGACGCCTTGTCCAGGGTAATGGCATGCAAGGAACTGACCTTGGTCAACAGTCCAGATCTGCACGACATTGCTGATGAAGTTCTGTATGATCTGGCCACTAAAAAAATCATCACGGAAGTCTTACAGAACCCTCAATCACATCCGGGGTACCATGTAATTAGGGGCTGTTTGTGGTTCAAAAATAGGCTGGTGCTACCCAAAAATTCAGCACAAATTCCTGCCATATTATCGGAGTTTCATTCTTCTCCTTTAGGAAGACACTCGGGGGAATTACGAACCTACTAACGTATTGCTGCTGTATTTTATTGGAAGGGAATACGTAAGAGGGTGGCTGATTTTGTACGACAGTGTGGAATTTGCCAATAGCAGAAATATGAGGGGCTGTTGCCTTCGGGGCTATTGCAGCCACTACCAATGCCGGACAAAGCATGGGAAGATGTATCAATGGATTTTATTGGAGGTTTACCCAAGTCTCAGGGAGTTGACACCATTATGGTGGTGGTGGATAGGCTGACCAAATACGCTCATTTCGTAACCTTGAGTCATCCTTATCATGCTCAAGATGTTGCAGAGTTATTTGTGAGGGAGATTGTCCGTTTACATGGTTTCCCAAAGTCTATTGTTTCGGATAGAGACCAGGTGTTTATGAGCATGTTTTGGAAAGAGTTATTCAGAATGTTAGGTACTAAGTTACGTTTTAGCTCCTCTTATCATCCACAAACAGACGGACAATCTGAAGTGGTGAATAGGATTGTTGAGACATATCTGAGGTGTTTTATTAATGGGCATCCTCAAGGCTGGGCTAAATGGGTATCGTGGGTAGAATTCTGGTTCAACACATCTTATAACAGGTCCATTGGCATGACTCCTTTCAAGGCTGTGTACGGGCAGGACCCTCCTTCTTTGTTCCGTTTTGAAAGGGGAGGAACTCATGTAGATGCGTTAGATCAGTGGCTGATTGCTAGGGACGCAGTGGTGGATGATCTCAGGCAGAATTTGAATCCTGCTCAGCAACGCATGAAGTTCCAAGCAGACCAGAAATGCAGAGAGATTCAGTTTGCAGCAGGTGACAATGTGTTTTTGAAAATACAGCCTTATAAGATGCGTTCCTTGGCTAAGAGGATCAATCAAAAATTAAGTCCACATTTTTATGGACCTTTTACGGTGCTAGAACGGGTTGGAGCAGTAGCTTATCGTTTAGAGCTTCCTTCATATTCAAGGGTACACCCCGTATTCCATGTCTCTCAACTTAAGCGGGCTGTTCAACCGGAGGTGCCCGTATTGCCATTACCCAAGTGCCTGAATGATACCTTGGAGCTGAGTGTTCAACCGGTGGCTGTCCTTGATTCTAGACGGTTGATGAATGGGCGGGTGGAGTTGTTGGTGCAATGGGAAGCCCTTCCTGACTGTGACTGCACTTGGGAGGAGTTGGAACAGTTCAAACACCAATTTCCTTTATTTCACCTTGAGGACAAGGTGATTCTTCCAGGGGGGAGTATTGATGGGCCCCTAATGCCTTTTAATAAACATTATAAACGCAAGAGAGCTAAGATTCAAATGGAAAGAGATATGAAAGCAGTCCAATCTGATGACAAAAGCCCAAATGAAGGCAAAAGCAATGAGACTGATGACAAGAGCCCAAATGATGAGAAAAGCAATGAGGCAGTGCACAGCCCAAGTGAGAAGAGAAGCCATGAGGCAGAGAACGCAAGTCACAAGCAACAACAATCAGTTATTAAAAAAGACACGTGGCAGGCAGTGAATGGAGAGGGTCATGCGGGAGAGGGGGCAGTGGTGAGAGGAATAAGAGAGACGGTTAGAGGGGAATGAGGTATTGGAGAAGTTGTGAGTGGTTGTAGCACCTGAGCTCGATGGTTCAGTGTGGGTAGGAAGGTATGAGTAGATGTGTAAACGGATGGACATGAGTGCTATATTCATGGAGTCTGTAATGGTTATTTGTTAATTGTAATTCTGAGTATTGGTTAGAGAGAGTCTCCTTTAACAGTATCTGGTTATTATTTCCTTGTTCGTATGGTAAGGGAGTGTTCCCCGAATCTTTAATATTGAATAAAGGTTATAATCGTTGTTGGTCACTGGTTTACTGATCTTTAAATACTCAAACACACTGAATTTCTGATTACTGTTATTTTAACCCAATTGGTGCCATTAGACTTTAAGGTTTTTTTTCCCTTTCTTCTTATTTTCTGACCATACAAAAAAAACCTTCTTGTTGAATGTGTCAACATTCACGCTCTCTGTGTCTTTCTGTCTGTCTGTATTCTGTAATAATTCTCTCTGTCTCTCACTCAAATTCTTGTGTTCAGAAGGTATGTTCTGGAATCAGCATTTGAATATTTGGTACAACAATCCTTTGTTCATTGTTTAGTTTTTGTTTGGGATTCAAGTTTGATCAAATCTGTAATACTTTTTCTTTGTTTGATTCTCCTATTGGATCTGGATTTGGTTGTGAAAACCCCACTCGAGTATTTGGGATGTGGTTACTGGGATGTGTGTTTTTGGTACAATGATGAAGTGGGTGAGCATAAAGTTTTCTTTTTTATTTTTTATTTCTATATTTTGGGGTGCCAGTTGCATTTGGAGGGAGCTTCTTGTTGCTTGAGCGGTGTTTGATTTTTTGTCTATAGATATTTAGTTGACTTTTGTTATCGTGATTGCAATCACATTGGGCTACTTTGTTGGAAGGATTGTCATGAATCTAATAAGATCATGTCCATTGGTTAGCTGCAAAAGCTGTTTGATGCATCCGCTGTAAAAGTGATATAAAGTCTTTTTGTTGTGTATCCTTATCTGTCCATTATAGATAAGGGGGAAATGTAATTGGAAAAATTAAATTTTAATTTTTACTTGCGGAATTTGAGTGCTTAATCTAGTTATATGGTTTTGGGAATGATTTAAGAAAATGGTGCAGGAAGGTCTGAGAACTCGCGAGCCAACCCACTGGCATCATTTCGAGTTAACCCGCGAGCTTTTTTCCGAGCCAACCCGCGAGCTGATTATCGAGCCAACTCTAACCCGGCTCGGGTCGGGCTGGGTTGGGTTTTCTGGCTCGTTTTTTTTTCGGGCCAACCCTAACCCGACCCTTTTTTTCGGGTTGAATGCGGGTTGGGCCAGGTCGAGCCGGGTTGGCCCGTTTTGCCAACCCTAATTGACAGAATCAGTACCTAATTTTTATTTTGTTTTATTGACAAAATGAGTAGCTAGTTTACTAAAAGAATCAGTACCTTTTGCTGATAGATTCAGTACCTTGATTTTTTTCGGCCTAGATTACTATACAATCTTTAATTTGAAATGGCTATTGATGGAGCACCTCAATTTTAAAACTGCTGAAAAATCAGAGGTAGGATGTGAAATAGTCACTCTATAAAATTTTTCAATCTTCTGGAGCTAAATGCTAGTAGTGGACAGAAATCTAAACTTAAATTTGTCAGTTAAGTAATTTGCCCAAGAGGGATATTCATATATATATATTGCTAGCTGGACTGAACTTTCAGCTGGACAGTAATTGCCTACTTATTCTCCTTTTAATGTCTAAAGTGTGAATGATTTCTTCACTTGGACCTTGCAGATTCTAATTCCATGCATGATGACTGATGATAACCCTTTTTATATGTACACTAAGTGCTATATAGAAGGCGGCAAGTTTTACAGAGTCCTGAAGAAATTTGTTCCTTGGTAGTGGCTAAAGCACTTACAAAATTTATTTTTTCTTAGCCATTCATTAAGATGGAACAAAGGAAGGCCTAGGTTAGGCTTTGGTGTTATTTGGTTAAATTTTACATTTAAATCAATGCCCTTTACTTGGTTTTGAGTATCATTTGAACCTTGAGCCTGATTGAGTAATATAAACAAAGGCTTGAGGCTAGGCTTGATTCTAGGGGAAAGAAAGAAGCCTGATATGACTGAGTATATTGAAACTTGTGTTTGGTTTTGATAGGAATATATATACTCATGTAGGTGTATGTAAGGTGGGTAGTAGGGGATTGTGTTCTACCAATGTGGTGGCATAACTAACTTTAGAATATTTTAGGAGGTTAGGCTGAGAATGAGAGGGGGAATGTGAAGTGTGTAAAGGCAGCTTGGGAAATATTGGACTTGGGACTGGGAGAGTCAGTACCTCTCAAATGTACTGAAATTACCTTTTTCTGCAATTGGCATTTCTGTTGTTTCATTTTAGTAGCCGATAGTTTCTATTATTGTAGCACTGTACTTGTTTCTTGAATCTTCCATTAATACAGAAAATCCAGAAGTTTCTGGGCCAAAACATTCTTGTTCCTTTTTCTTAATTTCATTTCTGATCCGGTTCCTATCAGATTTCAATCTTTGATTATGTTAATTAATTTGGTATCATTAAGCACCAAATTGCATTGGATTGAATGCATTCTATACAGTGACCTATATGTTCTTATAGTTTATATTTCTGATTTCAGTCCTACATTATTATCTTGATTTATCCCTATTATTCCTTTTTTTTTTATTAGCAAACTGCAAGCAACTGCTTCATTATAACATTTACCTATATGCTTTCATAGTCCTAGCTCATTGAAGAATCTCAAAAATCTCTTTTTGTTTTTAAACATATATTACTAGGTAGTATGCTATCAGAAATTATCTTCTGTGGAACAAATAAAAGACCTTCTGAGGAAGAAGAACTATAAGGGAGCCATATCTTTGGTGGAGGAGCTTGAGTCTGAAGGTGAGATGTCAAAAGATTTGCTCTCGTTTGTTCATGCCCAAGTGGGTTTCCTCTTGCTTTTTGACTTGCATTTTGAAGAAGCAGTGGACCACTTTTTGCTCTCTGAGACAATGCAACCTTCCGAAGTATTCCCATTTATAATGCGAGATCCAAATCGCTGGTCCTTACTGGTACTTTTATGTTTGTCTCCCTTTTTATATGTTACTGTCACAAGTTTGATTTCGAAATTTTGTTGCTGGGTTGTTTTGAGTCTCTGGGCATCTGCTAAACCACCAGAAGTAAAACTTTTAAAATGTGAAAAAATGCTCCATATTGGATTAATATCAATTGTCTTATTCTTGGTCACATGCAAATTCTTCTCTCAATCAGAACGGGGCATAAAACATATTGTTAAGTTTATGCAAAATTATTGCATGTTGTTGGAAGCACCTTGTGTTACAGCTCCAGTTTTCTTGGTAAGGAAAAGTTACAGCAGAAGAAGAAAATGGAAGAAAAGATGAAAGAGTAAAAGGAAGATATCAATTTTATTGATGTATTATAGAAAAACAAACAAGAGGAAAACCTCTTCTCAAGGGGCACTCCCCTTCCTCTGAGAAATTCTCAGCCTAACTATGAATTAATCAAAAGCTTCCTACTGCAGTCAGAGTATCCCTTTTATACATCAAGCTGAACCTATCCCCTAAAGGCCTAACTGAATAACCACATAATAACAAGCCTAACTGCCTAATACAACTGTTTCAACTAACCTGGGCCCTAATAAATGCCCTTGACCACTCCATATCATAGGTCATAACACCTTGGGATCTGTCAACTTCGTAAATACGTAATGCGAATTATTTGGGTCACAATAGCAAATACTATTTATCTGTTGCACCCGATGCTTATATCATGCAATTAGGAAATTATTTAAAAAAAACGTACGGTTGCATATTTAAAAGTTAGTTTTAATAATTTCGACGCAACTCATTTTGTTTGCCTCTTTATGCAGATCGTATTACTAGTTCATTTTTGTTTTTCTTCTCTTTCTATTAGATTTTGAAGGCTTCTGTTATCTTTTCTATATGTTTCTTGTTTTTGATAATGAAATTATGTTTTTGGAGAATGGGAAAATTAGTACGATAAAGAGGGAAAGACTTCCAAAAGAAAAAAAAAAAATTCATGATGGGATGGTGGTATTAGGTCGATTTTCTGATGTCTAGATGATATTATATCCTTTACAAATGAATCTTCTTTGTAATTCTTACTTCTCAGAATTAATGTTCATATCCAAATTGCTTAATGATATGTCAGACCAGACAAATAATACCTAAATGTCTAGTTTTCACTTTTACTCAATATTAAAGTTGAATACAATGTTTGAATATAGTCTGTGCTGCAACCTGTTTAAAGACTCGAGAGTTTCATAGGTGACTATGCAGTGAATAGATTTGTATTTTTTATTTGTGGTATTTGGCTAATGCATTTAGTCTATGTTCATGTACATGACACCAATTTATAACCATGTTATGCATTCTTCACTGATGAACATTATGCATAGTAACATGGTAATTGCGATATGTATCGCATGACGCACAATATGATTCAATACATAACAAAAACGATACGACCGAACATGTGTATCGAAGCAGACCATGAATCACTCCTTGAATTGCAGAATCGCACGATTCTGTTCCGTATTGTGAATCGTTAGGATTTGCGATTCAAAATCCCATGTGATTTTGGAAAGAGAAACAACCAAGAAGCAAGGAGTCAAATTACAGAGAATACGGAAGATTAGGGATTTCCCAAAATCCCTATTCCTAACCAAATCCAAAAGTAAAATGATCCTAATTCGATTTGTTTTTATTTCTCATCTTGACCAAGGAACTTTCACTCTTGATTCTTTGTAATTCTTTATTTCTCTTCTTTCATCCAATTCAAAAACACAAAAGAACAGAAAATAGAGACACTCAATACCCAAAAACTGGTTTTAAATTTGGTTACTCATGTATTTTTCTATTTGATTATTTTTTTGGAATTTGGATTTATATGATATTATATATTTTTGAGTCATTCTCATTATGTTTCTAAATCTTACGATTCAATACGATTCATGATACAAAAAAGTAACTGAATGATTTACGATATGTATTGTGATTCAACAGCCTTGCATAGTAATACATGTTTTTTTAGCAAAATATCCATGTGATTGTGCAATGTGCAAGTGATTTGGTATATGATCATCTGGTTTGACCAGATGATGAATTATTTTCTCATTTATTCTTTTAAGACATAATAGTTAAAGTTCATTTATTTTGTAATCGGGCTATTTGCGGTACAGAGGTTCAAACTGGCTTTTGTAGGTTCCTAGGAATCGGTATTGGGGTTTGCATCCTCCACCAGCTCCTCTTGAAGATGTAGTAGATGATGGCTTGATGACAATCCAAAGAGCTTCTTTCCTGAGGAAAGCAGGTGTAGAAACAATAGTACATAATGATCTTTTTCTCAATCCACCAAATAGAGCTGATTTATTGGACTCAGCAATCAAGAATATTAGCAGGTTTAAATTCCTTTTAGTTATTCATTTAAATTTTTTCGTCATTATGTTTCTGTTGACTCTGATATTGTCACACACACATCATTAAAACCTCCTATACACCTATACCAGGGACTTTTCCTTTGGGTGGATCATAAAGAAAAGTTTGGGTAGAGGAAGAGAGGAAAATGTCTGAAATATTTAGATTTCAATCTCGCATCTTGATAGCAATATAATTTAATGATTCACATGAATGATTTCTTATTTATGTAGTTATGGCTTTTGGCTTGTTTTCATAATCACCTTTGTTGATGAATATTATGTACAGGTATTTGGAGGCCTGTCGAGAAAAAAACTTATCGCAATCAGTCAGGGAGGGAGTTGACACCCTATTAATGTATCTCTATAGAGCCCTAAATCGTTTTGAGGACATGGAGAGACTGGCATCTTCTACGAACTGGTGTGTTGTGGTATGTGCAGATTATGGTTTTGATGTCTGCAAATTATTATATTTTGTGTTATATAAATCTGTTGAAGAAGAGAGATTTCAATACAACATTTTCAAAATCTGGACTGTAAATTATTTAATGAATGGAATTATATGTATTATTCTCTGAGCAAATTTGAGAATTTTTTTTCTTGTTCCTGGTATGGCCATATGTAAAACTCTAAAAAGAGTATATAGTGTTGACAGAAAAATGAAGGTGAGAAACAAAAACATACATAGAACATCAACGGCAAGTGTGATCAGGTAAAGGAAAAGAGGGCCCCCATTTCTAAATCCACCATGCCCTTTTAACAAAGACTAAGGTATTTTACTTACTGAAAAAATAAAATAAAAATAAAGACTTCGGTTGTTGAATTGCATGACATAATAGAAATTGCCTGGGCTTGGCCTGAAAGATGACCTTTTGAAATTCATCTCCTGTGCAGGGGGAGTTGGAACAGATGTTAGAAGAGTCTGGGCACCTACGGACACTTGCCTTCCTATGTGCAAGTAAAGGAATGAGCTCAAAAGCTGTGTCTATTTGGCGCATTCTGGCGAGAAATTATTCATCCGGCCTCTGGAAAGACCCTGCTTTGGAGTATAGTATACAGGGTAGCGGGGAAAACTTTATTTCTGGCAAGGCAATTGCTGCTGCTGAAGCTTCAAAGATTCTTGAGGAGTCATCTGACCAAGATTTGATTCTACAACATCTAGGATGGGTATGTGGGATTAAGTGCGTGTTTTGATTAGCTTATTTTGGGGGTCAAAACATCTTTTTTTGGCAGTTTCCCGAGATAACTTTTGATAAAACAAACGATTATTTTGACAAAAAAAGCTGAACCAAATTTGTGCCAAGAAGTTTTGTTGTTAATGCAAGTAGAAGTCTTAAACTTCACAACTTGATACGTTTTCATTTCAGATTGCAGATATCAGCCAGGTTCTTGCAGTCAAAGTTTTAACTTCAGAAAAACGAGAGATCCAACTTTCTCCTGGTTGGTCTTGATTCTTCAAGCATGCCACACTCATGATTTCTGTAATTATTGTGTTTTGGGTCCTTGATATTGATTGAGGAATGCAAATTTTGAATGTATTTTTAATTTTTCCTAGTTGGGACTACTGGCTTCAGTGGTTATCAACTTATTAGCACATAATGCCTAATGCACATTGCTAAAGGGTTCTCAGATATCATAGTCATCATTATGTTTATGGTTCTGTTAATTTTATTTAATTTATGAAATCATCAGTGATATGGTATTTTATTTCTTACTGCAGATGAAGTTGTTAATGCTATTGATCCACAGAAGGTCGAAATTTTACAGAGGTATGCAAATGTGTTATCTGTCAGCTCTCAAATTGAGGATATTATGTGTGATAATTTTAAAATGTCTATGTTTATTGATTCTCAGGATTTTATTATATTATTAAGGGAAAACAATCTCTTATGTTACTGTAAAACAGTAACCGTTTCCTGCTCAAACAATTATTAGGAGGAGAGAGAAAAAAGTGGTGGAAAAAAAAAATAAAAAAGTGGGACCCACGTATGTTTTTGTGAGTGCAGGAAACGGTTACTGTTTCACAGTAACATAAGAGATTGTTTTCCCTATTATTAATTCTTCTTTTACCTCATTTTCTTCCGCTTACATTTTTGCTGCGCATGTATTAAATATAGCAGCTGTTGATGAGTGTTAGAAAGTGTTACACTAGTTATATGACACTTGTACTTCCTAGAATATTAGTATAGATAGGTGTATTAGGTTAATGCTTATCACTTCTCATATCATCACATCATCATAATAAATGTAATTTACGGTCCTGTTTCTCTTTTCTCTCTTTTACTTGTTTTCTGTATAATCTGTAACCTGATCTGATCACTATTTCTACTGCAGAGTTCAAAAAATATTTGAAACTCCCTTCGTATTGCATTTATTGAAAAATTAGGATTGGGTACAACAGGATAATACAGGAACATACATATATATATATATATATATATATATATATATATGTTGTATTGGCTCAAAAAATTAAAAGTAAAATGTAAAAAATTAAAGGATGCAGGTTCGAAGTTTTGGAGGTGTCTGAGAAGTATTTGACATATACATATATCTGTGACCAATACAGCGGCTACTCCATGCTTGTAATAAGTCCCACAGTCTCACCTAATGTGATAAAGCTTGATTCTTGTTGGTTAGTTTCACTTTGAACTAGGTTTTTCCTATATTTAAAAATATAAACAGTAGAAAAGAAAGTAGAAAGTACAATGGTGTATGATATGATATCCTTTTGAAATAACTAAAATAAAAAATGATCACAGAATGTGGACTACTATACAAAGACCTCCAATCACATTGAATATCTGTAAAGGAAATACTGTGACGGTACCACTGGTAGAGCATTTCCTATTGTGATAAACTCTATTCTACTGTCAGTGCAGTGGTAAAAAACTTGTCATTGAAAGTCTAGTGTTTTTTCTCCAATTAAATGATATATAAAACTGTAAAAAATAGAGATCTCCATAGTTTATTCTCCTTCCTGATAAAGGCCCTTGGCCAGATTTACGAAATTTACTTGAGCATTTGCAAATGAATTTTTACTACTCTTTATAGGAGGAGGGAAAAAAAATACAAACTCGAATATCTGATATCTACATCAAGAGATGAACTCATTATGTTTATGAAATATTGAAAATTAAATAGAAGGCTTGACCTTTAAGAAGCCTTCACTTTCCACAGCAGTTGGAAAACCTATAGTCTCTGAGATATTGGATCTTTCCAATGTGCATTAGCTGATAATAGTATGCTGTGACTGTGAGACACTAAAGATACGGAAATGTTTGGACTTTGGAGAGTCATCCCTTTTGATCTATCCTTTCAACTGAATGCAAGAACCATTTATCAAACTTATACTTTGGACATAATGAATTTGTTAGGGGACAGGGTTGTTTTCTCACTTTGTTCTGGTGTTCAGCTCATGGTGATTTTCAACGTGTTTCTTGTAAAAGCAACTTTACATTGATTTATGACCTTATATTTTCAACAAGTAAACTTATCGGGCAGCTTTCATAGTTGGTGTGTACTGTTTTGAGGATAATTTGAAGAAAAGTAAATTGGAACCTGTTACAATAATTGAGAGATCTTCTGGAACCTCTGTTTCCATAATTCTCATTTATCCTTTTGCATGGAGGTCATTTTTAATAAAATTGTATAGGCTACTCGATGAGCTATGCTCACAAATATTATGATCTTCTATAGAGATTAGTCTTTATCATTTCAGTAATCTCTATCAACTTTATTACTGTAGAAGAGGAACTTGTGAGTTGCTTGAGGAAATCCTCAGCAGAACATTATATTTGTACATGATTTCCAATCTGTAATATTCGGAAACTAGGGAAATAAGTAAACTAGAAACTTTGGAAATTAAGGAAAATAATAGAAATCAAATCTTAATTATTTACAGTATATAGAGTCCCTAAATAATAGATACTTTCCAACAATTTCCGTAATGTGTTCTTCTATCTTCTGTTCCATACAATTTTAAGTCATATTGGAAACCATAAAAACAGATCTTGCCCTAAGTGGTTTTACTGAGAATTTGCGTTTTGATAGAGCCAATTCCACCAAAGGAGGGGATAAGGCTTGGTTGGTTTGGTGGTTGTTGCCATTGTAATATAAATTTATACTTAATTTTAAAATTCTGAATTTCTGATTCATTAGTTTACCCCAGCCTCCTTTGGTATTGTAGATATCTCCAGTGGTTGATTGAAGACCAGGATTGTAACGATACTCAGTTGCATACGTTGTATGCCCTCTCACTTGCCAAATCAGCAATTGAAGCCTTCAAATATGAAAATATCTTTGAAAATCTTGATAGTGGAAATATAGAGACCAAAGGTTTGGCTACTTTGAGGAACTCAATATTTCAAACTCCTGTCAGGGAAAGATTGCAGATATTTTTGCAATCCTCAGACTTATATGATCCAGAAGAAGTTCTTGACTTGATTGAAGGATCAGAACTATGGTTAGAAAAGGTAATTTAAGTCTTTTGACTGAGTTATCTTAAGCTCAGTTTATATGACTTTGGTAAATGTGCTACTTATGGTTCTTGTGGCTGTATACACTTTTGGGAGGGATGGTGATAAACAGCCTTATGTACAAAATGATATTTAGCGTTCTTATTTTATTTTTGCTGAACATATTAATTTTTATTTAAATTTTTTTCAACTGGGCTTACTTGACAGGCTATTCTGTATAGAAGACTGGGGCAGGAGACTTTGGTCCTCCAAATTTTGGCTTTGTAAGTTTCAAATTAGCTTCAAAACAGCACTTGCGTTCATACAAATTCACTCAACTATATTGTATGATGCTGGTAACTCTGTGCATGCATTTTCTTATCGTTGATTCACTGTAATTCTGTAAATAATTTTGTATGATGCTGTGTTTATGCTTGCATACAATTTTACGATAGAAGATACAAACTGATTTTAGCCATTCTCTATTAAAAGCTTACATTTCAAAAGGCAACTATCTGTGTGGGTCTGTGTTTATAATACATGCATGCTTATATTCGTGTGTATATAATTGTGAACATGAGATGGGCCTTGTCTTTGCCTCTGTATCTTTATGTCATCTATTACAAATATGGGACGTGAGATAGCACACAGTGAAGATTTTGTATGCAGTTAAGTTGTACTCTCGTCTATCAATCAAGGTTGTCAAACTTGTCAGACTACTTAAACTAGTTGAACCTCTCTATACCCGTAAGAGTTTACCTAATTCAAAAATAATATTAAAAAAATTCAAATTATCCAAATATAATCTAATCACATTTATAATCAACATTCAACATCCCAACTCCATAATAAATCAAACGAAAGTGATTAAGTATGAAAATGCGAATTTAAACCATACACAAATGAGCAAATCATAAGTTTAAAATGCTAAGATCTTAATCAAGTTAAGTCAAGATGTCAAGATGATGGGCCTATGGGCCTGAAATGGATGAGTTAGTTAATTAGGAATTTTCTAGAAGGTTATTTTAGTGATGGGATAAAAGGGAGTGGAGTGTGTGTAGTGAGGTATGCATGTATTCATTATTGGTTTAGTGGGGAAATTGCGGGACCTCTAGGGAACTCTTGGAGCCTAGGTATGTTTGCTTTGAGGAGGAGTTGAGGTTTTCTTTTTGCCATTTATGTTGTAAGGAGCTTGTCTCCATCTATGTTTTCTTCAATTACAGATTTATAAAATTAGGTTCCATCACAAGATCTTCAGAATTCAAAGCCTCCATCTTTAAAACAGAAATTAGCGTACTCATTGAGTGGGGTAAACATGCCAACAGACTCTTAGAGAAGAGAATATAGGAAATGTTAGTCTAAATTGCTCTGCTAATATTAGGCTCATCAGTTTTATATGACACCAAAACTGTTTAGTTATCCGCATTATGTCCTTCATACAATATTATAGTCTAGTTTGTTCGAAATATGATGCCTCAAATAACTAATCAGCTAAGGTGTCTCTCTATGGATTTTGCTTAAATCAGATATTATAGTCTGATATAGTGTTTGAATTAACAAACCTTCTTACTCATCTGTTAAAAACAAATATAGAAACAGACAACACTCAGCAGAGCAGAGCAAAGCAATAAAAATATAATAACTAGTGTGACTGCTGTGTGCAATTTTTGGGACATTACATTGAAACAATGAGAACATATGAAGAACAGAGCAAGCATGGAACAGACCAAACACATAAACAGGGTATTTTTTTGAGAGATGGATGCATGCATTGAATAGACCAAGAAGGTGTTACGATCCTTGGAGTTCCACATCGGAAACATAAGGTTCTAGTGTGGGGTTTATATGAATTTTAGGCTCTCTTATCTCATGGGCTAGCTTTTGGGGTGAGGTTCTCGCAAAGTTCGTATGAATTGGTATTAGAGCCTTCCACTATGTCTCTCGGTTGCAATCGAGCCGCGCTGGTGGTGACGCTGGCATTGCATTATTCGCCCAGGGCTAGTAAAAGACTAGCACAAAGCCAGCCCGCATGGGCGCTGTGGCTACATAGCGTGGTAGAATATTACGATCTTACTCCAAGGTATGGGACTTGGAGTTTCACATCGGAAACATAAGGTTCTGGTGTGGGATTTATATGGACTTTGGTGCTCCTACCTCATGGGCTAGCTTTTGGGATGAGGTTCTCCCAAGGTTCGTATGAGAAGGCCACAACAAACCTGGGACATACATGCGATCAAGAGGTAAGGGACAATCGAAGAGCTGGGTATATGGTTTTTCAAACTTTGATTCCAGCTCGGGACTGCGAATTTTTGGAGCTGGGGCATGTTGAGCCCTAACTAAGGCTGTGGGTTTTGGTCTAGCTTTGAAACAGTGAGTTTTGGGCATTTGGAGACCAATTTTATGCAGCCCAGTGATCTCTTTTAATTCCCCGGCAACTCAAGATTTTATGCAAGTTCATACAATCCAACCTAGTCAGACTAGTTCACCATATTTCAAGTTTCGAAGACTTAATGGTTCTATTGATGAACCTAGGATCATAAACTTGAGTTTATGTGTCAACAACCATGCAAATAATAATAAAAGTTGTAATAATCCTGGTTTTACTTATATACACCTAAAAGAAATATTCATTACAATTGACCTTGCTATAATTTGATTTATTGAAAATTCGGTTTTTGATAGAAGCCAAAGATTTTATTTGATCCATATATTTGACTGTCCTATCCTAGTGGGACAGGGTTTTGTTGGTGTAGATGTAGACTAAAAAGAATGAAAAATATGGAATACTTTTTTAATAAACTGTTGTAAATATTAGAATTAGTATTTTATATATTTATTTGTAATAGCTAGAATACTCTAGAAGTGTATTTTGGGCTTAGCCCATTAGGTCTTTTAGTACTCTTTATATAGAGAGCTCTTGTACAGATTTTATACAATTCAATAATATACAAAAACTTCTTTTCTAGTTGGTATCAAAATTGACCCTTCTAGAGTTTAGTAGCTTGCAATTTACAATAATTTGTGAAGAAAAATATTTCATAGTCTTGGTAAGATATAAGGTTTATTATATTTTTGCAGACTAATGTAACCGTGTCAAGATAGGATTTTGGCAATAACTATGGCTCCATTGGATATGTATTTTAGCTGACAACTGGATTTCCCATAAAGACATGCAGAAGAGTTATTAATTTGGTTTGTTAAATTAGGAATGAGTAATTTTATTTATTTATTATTAATGTCTGTTGGCTACCAGGAAACTGGAAGACAGTGAAGCTGCTGAGGAGTATTGTGCTGAGATTGGCAGAGCTGATGCTTACATGCAGTTTGTCTCCCTTTTATCCCTTTAATACTTTATATTTGTATCTAGAAGTTATTTGGATCATTTGTCTTAAATGCTCTTTTGCTTTTTGGTTTAATGTCCTCAGGTTGCTTGAAATGTATTTGGATCCCCAAGATGGTAAGGATCCCATGTTCACTGCTGCTGTTCGCCTTCTCCACAATCATGGAGAATCATTGGACCCATTGCAAGTTTTAGAGGTATTAAACTCACTCTATACTCCCATAAATACTGAAGCTCTTTGTTGGTGACTTCTTTCCTTTTCAATTTTACTGCAAAAAATGAACATTTTGCTGCCTGAACTGCAGTGAAAGGTGAGGGGGTATGTCAGCATCAAAATTGTATTATAGATATTCACTTGAAACTGAGAAGATGGATTAATATAAACAAATAAATACCCTTTATAAAACCATTAGGGTTTAAACTTGTTAGTCCTTTTGGTAAGGATTTAAGGGTTGTATTCCCCATCTTCCTTTAAGGTATTTTCAAGGACAAATTACTTCAAAAGTTTACTCTGTTAGGTCTCATGGATGATTTTATATGAAATATTCCTTTTCATGCAAGAATCCTTTGGGTTTGAAGTGTGAACAATACTTAAGTCCACCATACCTGGTGTTGAAATTCAGCATTTATTTAGAAGAATTGGGGTAAGCAAGGTTTGCCTAAACACTTGGCATGGAGGCTTCGATACCATGTCAAAGATCTACCATTCCAAAACCTTAAGTTGTTGTGTAAAGGCTCATGAATGGTTTTATATCTAATTGTTATATTAGAAACTAGTTGGAGGAGGTGCATAAGCTAGCAGCCATAGAGCACGCATGTAGAAAATCAAAATATTATCAAATGGAGGAAACTTGAAGGTCTATGTAATTGATTCCTGGAACCCAATTTGTCGGAAGAGCTTGTGAAATACTTAATTTTGAATTTACTTTGGTTATTCTTCAAAGAGTATATTTCTGGCATATTTCTTGATGCTTGGTGAATGAGAGTGTATTAATTATCTTTGCAACTTCTCTTTTGATACAAATCTAGAGTTTTCTTCATTTTTATCTTGTATAATTCTTCATTTTAAACAGAATAGTTTAATTATCCTTCTCATTATATAGCAATTTAGATTCTAGCATTATGAATGATTAAGTACTCTTGAATTCTTGGGCTGTGTTTTCAATTCCGATATGGATTGGAGTTGCTCTGAAGTTAAAGATTATATAACAAGGGAAGGGACTTTTTTTCTTTGGGTCTTTTGTTGGGAAGCATAAAAGAGAAATTGTTAGTTGATAGATTTGACTTACACTCAAGACGAAAGGGTGCGATGCTAATAATCCAATGATTTATGCTACTCATGCAAATAGGGTGTGCTTTAAGGCTGTTGCACGTAGGATTTGATATGAAATTGTTTGTGTGCCTTCACCTAACAGGTTAAACTAGTAAGAGAGTTTGTCTTTAACAACAGAATTGGTAGGAATAAGCAGAAAGTAGATTTTATGGAAGTGTCTGGTATGCAGTTCTCTGATCTGATGTGTATAAGATAAATGTATCAACTTAAACGCATTGCTTATGTGTTTTGTTATAAAAAAATTAATACCACAAGTTATTCACCAGAAGAGAAAATTTGAAATGCCCAATCATGCATTAACGCGGCAATATTAAATACACCATGAATCCCCCAGTACAATTGTCAGGATAGGTGTTACTTTTTGCGATAAAAGGACTCTACATCTAATCACCTGCAGATTTTCACTCTGTTTTCTTTAAATATATTTAATGCATTCCACAGAATTGCGGTTCTTAGTTTTGGGATTTTACTTACTAAGTTTTGGCTTTATAATGCAGAAACTTTCCCCAGATATGCCACTTCAACTTGCTTCTGAGACTTTACTAAGAATGTTCAGGGCCAGAGTTCATCATCATCGTCAAGGACAGGTACTTCCATGTTTTTTCCTATTAGCAGACCCCAATTAGTAGGTTGCCTGTCTCTGTTATTTAGTTAGTTGAATAGTTTTTCAGTTAGATAATTAGTTAGCGGAGAGATGACAGGGTATAAATAATAGGAGGGAAATAATAGTGTTTAGTTTGTAGACTTGGAGTAGAGATTGGGAGGGAGAGTCCAGGTCTCTCGAATACCTTGGCGAGGGAGAGAATTCTTCTCTGTAGCAATAGTGTTCTTGATCTCTGTTCTGTATCACTTTGATTCTGTTCTGAATCACATTGATACTAGTTCTGAGATTACTCAGTTTTTCTCATATTCTGGTCCAGTTATATCCTGGATAGATTACCCTAATCTCTCTTTCTCCACGTGATATAGAAAAAATAAAAAACAGAACTCTAATCAGAATGAAGATGTGTAGTTGTTGCTATCATGAATTATGGGTAATCGTCAGTTATGAAAGTTCTCTCTTAAGTGAAGTTTTAGAGCATTCCACAAGATTTTGGCAACTACAACAATTTTTTTAAATTCTTATGCAACGAGGTATATGACTCATTTTAATATCATCTTTTGAGTATAGTCTTTACAGTATCTTCGGTTTGCGTGGATATTTAACCACTCAAGTTCGTAGTTGTTCCTGAACTCTACTATTTTTACCAAGAATTCCTATCATGCAGTCTTCCTGAAAGAAATTTTTCTTTGTACTCTTTAGTGTGATATTTCCCAGTTGACAGCCTCCTGTCATGTTCCACTTTAGTCAACCAAGTATTGTGGACTGGTAATGTTAGTAACATAGTTTCTTTCAGATTGTGCATAATTTATCTCGTGCCGTAGACATTGACGCAAGATTGTCAAGATTGGAGGAAAGATCAAGGCATGTGCAGATTAATGATGAGAGTCTCTGTGATTCCTGTAATGCGCGCCTCGGTACAAAGCTATTTGCAATGTACCCTGATGATACTGTTGTCTGTTACAAGGTTAGTTAGTGCTCAAGCTCTTCTAACAATTGATGCCTCAAATACAGCTTTTGTCCCAACCTTCCATGTCTCGTCCATAATTTTGCCTGCTAGACTGTTTCCAGATATGTGTAATTTTAGGACTTCTTGACATGCATTCGAATAATATAGGTGCAAAACTTAATTTCTCCATTTTGTTGTAGAATTTATTTGGGAGTTGGTCAATATAATTCTTGAAGTAATTTTTATCCGCTCCATCTTTTCTCTCATTATTCTTTATGGTATGACAAACTAGCAATAAAATAATGTTTTATATTCATGTTTTTGGGGGAAGACCAGATCTTTCTCAATTAATGCATGTACAGTTACTGTCTTCTGTTAGTAAGAACTCCTATTTGTATCTGTGTGCCTGAGCACATTCTGGTTTTTCACATGATGAATTGATTATTCTCTCTAATTATAATGGGTTTAGATCTTTAGGGATGAATTTAAATTTAAATTACGACTGAAGTTTTAAAAGTTTAAATTACGACTGATCAATAGTTCACGTTTAAAAGTTTGTTTATATATGCTTTCTCTAGCACTGTTTTAGAACTGGATTTCTTACTTGTGCTTCTAATCCTTTGTAGTGTTATCGCCGTCAGGGTGAGTCAGTGTCTGTCTCAGGCCGCAATTTTAAGGAAGACATCCTAATTAAACCAGGTTGGCTTGTGAGTAGATGATCTTGAAACTAAGATACTGCTTGGCTGAATATGAGGATTTGTCATTCCATACCAAATCCAATTCATTCAAAATTGGAAAAAAAGAATAGTGTTGATGATCACTCGGTTATTTAGTTAAACATAAGAGTATCTATCAGCTTCTAGCCTCCTACACTAAAAGAGTAGAGTTACATACAGTTAACTACCACCTGATGGTACTGTAAATAGTGTTGAGTTCTCCATTGTACTCTCCATTCCCCCATTCGGCCTATTCCATTGTAAATTTTTTTGATATTGTAAAATGTAAATGTTTGCACATAAATAATCAGTTCATTCTTCCATTCTAGTTCACATGGGCATGGACTATAATTCGGCCCTCAAAAATTTGGAACTGGTTTGATGGGATTAGACTGCTGTAGATCATGCAGCATTTTATTTTTTTAGTACAAGCAATTGCTTATGCAATCCAAGTAGGTAAAGCCCTTTATAAAATGGGGACTTCAAAATTTGAACTCTTGATCTTGCAAGAAAGGCATGCCAGTCCACTTTGAATATGACTAATACCACAACATGGAAACGAATAAAAAAATTCTTAGAAGAATGTTCGTAAATCGGTGCTTTTATACAATTATAAAGCACATTCTAATTATGGACAACGGTAGCTTAGCAACTTTCTATTTCACCTTTTATTGGTAGATAATGGCTTATCTGCATGCGACTTATTCACTCTTTAAAAGTTAGTTTATTAAAACATTTAAAAGTTATCAATAGAGTATATTAATTTACTAGTAAGAAAACAAAACTACGGGGCGTTTGGTAGCCGGCATTTTGCAGGATTTTCGGAAAACTGAATTTTTCTAAATTTTAAGTTTTTGGATATTATTGTAAACTGAATATTTTTAACATATTTTTGAAAATCGAGATTTTCGGACAAAAAAAAGTTTCTTCTCTGCCAAACGCCTTCTAAAGATTTGAAAGTGGAAATTATCATTCTTCTGTTACTGTTTCCTGGTTCAACGTTGCCCTACAAAATGCAAAGGGTAAATGTTATGGAAGTTGCCACCATATTGGTGATTTAAGTGTTATAAATGTTAGTTTTAGCTAATATTTACAAAGAACAGTAGTAGATCCTATCAAAAGTAAGATATGGTGATTTGGTTAACAACACAATTTGAAGGAAATTGTAGTATCAAATGCTTTAGTGGTATTGATTAAGATCACGAAAGGTTGAATCCTCCTCCCCCTAGAAAATGGATTCTAACAATCCTTGTGAAACTTCGAACAATTTTAACGCGAACGGTCAAATTCAAATTGCATGTATTTGGTGAAAGCATCTCCCATGATATCTTGAATTATATTAACTAAGATTAGTATAATCAGACAACTGCCTAGTTCTATGCTAGACCCTTGTTAATTTCAATTTCAAAATTAGATTGGCTTAAGTAGTTACTTAACTACTTAAGCCAAATTCCTTCAATTTAGTTATTGAATTCTCCTTCAATCATGGCTCGACACAATTCAAATCAAAGATCAACAATTGTATAAATGAACAAAAATCAATTGATTCTATATTAATCATGTAATTCTAAAAATCAGGAAAAGGAGAAGAGGAAGAACAATTATCATTAATTAAGAAAAGAATACGAAGGACCCAAAGCCAAACCGAAAAGAGTGTGAAACCTATGAATTGGTTACAAAACCCTAGCTTTCCATGGAAGCTTGAAAACTGAGCAAAGGGGAAATAGATGAAGGAGAAGAGTAATTGTGCTTTTATTCACATTTCTCTATCTATATGGAAAATCACTTATTCCTAAAAGAAAAGAATTATGTGATTTCCCCCAACTAGTTAACTAAAGATAATCCTCGCATGCTTAACTAGGTTCTAATTTTTCATAAATCAAAGTCTTATAGACTAAGGTATGGTCCAAACAATAAAATAACTCTATTATCGTATCGTAATCTTTTTTGTTTTCAATGTCATTTAAACCTCCAAAATGACTCACAATATGATCTTCATAAGAGTTGTTGGCCTAGGTCCAAGCTGTCCAATATCAAGAAAATCTTTGCTTCCTTATTCCATGCCATTTTAAATTATCCAGACGTAGGTTAGATCTCCCTCTTATCTTTCTTACGAAGCAAGCATCACCTCAATTGAATATCTAGAACTTAAGTAATTCTCGAATTAAAGTGATGGGGACATGATTTTAAATTTTTGTTAGATTATAAAATTTCTTGCAAATCGATCCTGATTTTATGAAATGTGACTAATTCACTTTAATTAGACCTAAGAGAACCTACATAGAACATATCTGAGGTTAATTAAATATTTTAAATATACAGTTTTGTTTAATCGTTATAATATAATGAAATTTGAGGATCAAATTGAAAATGAATGTGGCGTATAAGGAGTAGATGTCAACCAGTTTCAATTTGGTGCCTATACTTCACATTAACTTGGTGCTAACGTCATAGTGGTATAACGGTAGCTAAAAATGAAAATGATTTTAATTATAAAGACTAAATTAAAGTTTTTTTTATATAAACCAAATTACAAATAAATGTCATCAATATGCATAAAAAATAACCAAGTTTAAACAAAATATTTTTCCAAAAAAAAAAAAAAAAAAATTGACCCTAAAATTAGGCTTTTTCACCTTTTTACCCCTTATTAATTAATTAATAACCATTTTGCCCCTGATTCGAAACTATTTATCAATCTGCCCCTCTTTAGTCGACTACCTTGCATTTTTAATCGACTAAATGGTCAAAACAGACAAAAAATGGCTGCTGGGAGATTTAGTCGACTAAATCTCCCTATTTAGTCGACTAAATCTTCATATTTTACAAAAAAAAAAAAAAATAAGTCAGTATGATTTTAATCGATTAAGTAGAGAGATTTAGTCGATTAAATCTCCCAACAATCGTTTAGTCGGTTAAAAATGCAAGGTAGTCGATTAAAGAGGGGCAGATTGGTAGATAGTTTCGAATCAGGGGAAAAATGGTTATTAATTAATTAATAAGGGGCAAAAAGGTGAAAAAGCCCCTAAAATTATGTCGTTTGTACGTATTTATGCAACATTATATATTTGTATTCGTACAATGTATTAAACGAATATCTGGTAAAAGTTTTTTACTTATTGTAGCTAGCTGGTATTTAAATTAATTTATATGATTAAAAAAAATATAATTAACATTTTTTAATATTTTAAAATAAAAAACATAATAATATATTTTTTCTTCAAAATTTTAGATATCTTAAAACTGAAAAAGCAGGCTATTAAACTGACTACGTTTCCTAGTTGAGTAGTTATTTCCCATTTATGTATATTACAGTTTCAGCTTCGGTTTTAATCCTTATTTAAGTATTCATTATGAAATGAAACGGATCAAATCATTACTGTTTATTAATTTACGTTTTATGTTTCCAAGCTGAGCCTTTACACTTAAAAGACTCTAAAATGGCCTCTCAGCAGCGTTATTTACCAAATTCTTTCTTTGTTGAGAAGTATTAAATGGCTTTTAAGGTGTGCTGTTTACTAATTTACTATGAACTTTCTTTCTTTGTACGGGTCAGCTAACACTGAATTGTGTGCACATTGTTGCTTCGTGACGTGGTGGTATGTGTGATCTAGAAAAAAAGATCTAGAACTCTCTGTTCTGGTTCTTATGTATCCGATACAAATTTTTTGAACTCTGTATTTTTTATATTTTTTATTTCTTTTTGGCTTGGAAGAGAAATGGAATGTTTGCTTTTCATTTTCTGTTGTTTATCGTCTGTCTCTGCTAGTAGCCGCCAATTGATAAATATGTATTATTTATGTGATATTGTTGGTATCATAGATACAAGAGGAAATGATAGTAATTCTTGTTGTATTAAACTACACAATATTGGTGCTATTATATAGCAAACCAATTGAAGAATACAAAGAGACACACTCAATGTGGGACTTCTACACTATTAACACTAACACTCTTAACAGATATGTCTCTGTCTTGTTTGTTTCAGATACACATGTTGTGCTGGTTACATGCTCTGTAGTGGTAGGCGCAGAGAAAATAAATGTCCTGAATTTTGCATTTGTACTGAGGTATAGAAATTTATACTTTCTCCCCCCTTTTATTTATACCGGATATTGGTACATGTTATTATCGGTGTTTCTTGTAGGGTTGGCAAAAATGTGCTGGCCCGTCGGGCCAGCTCGTAACCCGCAAAAAATGAGCCGGGTTGGGTTGGCCAAAACGAGCCACCAACCCGGTTCAGCCTGACCCGACGAGTTACGGGTCAGAACGAGCCAGCCTGCGAGCCACACAGGCCAGCTCGCGGGTTGGACCTTTAAAAAAAATCAAATCTAAAATCCACCATCACAACCCAACCCATCCCAACCCAACCTTCTTCTTCCTCTCAATCTTTCATCTCCACCGTGAAACAACACACCACCAACCACCCTGCACCGCCTACCAACTACCATCGGCCACCCATTGTCCCCATCTTATTTGCCAACCATCGAACCACCCACAACCATTTACCTATGAAAATCCAAATAACCACCGTCCAAAATCATCATCATTGGATCTAAAAACCCATCCAGCCGCCAGTCAAATACCCCGAATCGACAGCCAACCTATAAATCTCACCGCCCAAAGCCCACCATTGAGCCGCCACTGACAACCATGGAAGATCAAGCCACAAACAACCACACAGCCCAAGCCACACATCCACTTTCGGTTCAGATCGAGTTGTACTCGCCGACCTTCTATGCTGCGCCTGCACTGTCGGTGGAATCCTCAGTTGTGGCCTTGCTCACATGGCCGTCACTCCTCTTGACCTCTTCAAGTGTAACACATGTTCAGATTGTGCTGTTTTATTAGAATTTAGCTTCGTCACGCTTTAGATATACAATTTCCTTTGAGGTCTCTTCAAATGTTTGGTTATGATAATCATGTCTAGGGTTGGCAAAATGGGACAACCCAGCTCGACCCGACCCAACCCGTTTTGAACCCGAAAAAAAGAGTCGGGTTAGCCCGAAAAAAAAAGAGCCAGAAAATCCAACCCAACCCGAGCCGAGTTAGGGTTGGCTCACGGGTTGGCTCGGAAATTGGCTCGTGGGCTGGCTCATAAGGGTTGGCTCGAGAAATGACTAATGGGTTGGCTCGTAGGCTGGCTCGCGAGTTGGAAAAGCAAAACAAAAGCAACAACTAAAACGAGTATGACCGTAGAGAAGCACAAGCAAAGATTATCATCAACACAAAAAAGAAATAACAAAATCGAACTAGGAATCTCACAAAATACGATCGTCCAAATTTTGCAGATCTATTCAATCAAAGA